CCCATTGTTGAAAGTTTTTCCTGGCCCCCGAAAAAACAAAAAAAAGGGTTTTTTTTTTTTGGGGGTTAAAAAAAAAAAAAAAAAAAAAAAAAAAATATATATATATATATATATATATATATATATATATATATATATATATATATTGTGCAGGATGTTTAATCTTTTTTTATCGGTGATATATAAAAAAGTGTACACTGGACTTAGATGTCTTCATGTAAACATAAAAGTGTATTCAAATTCTTCCAGTATGGTTGATGCTTATACCAAAGAAATGGTCTTAAAAGACCCATTTCAAGCATGCTGTCATTTAAAACTAAAAACTGCCTAACTCCATACATTCACTTTTTGTCCATTGCAGTAAACAACACATAGCCTTTAACACAACATAAGTTTTCAAAGCTGTGAAATTCAGTTTGGTCAAAGTCTAATATTTGTTGCATAGAGGAAGGAGTGCAGCTTCCAGAAAAATAATGGAGTGTGCTTCTATTTTTAATATTTTTTCCATTTCCTTGAATGTGAACCGTTTTTGTTTACAGCTGGAAATAAAGAATTAACCTATATTTCATTTGTCTTCCATGTTGAATTCCTACACCACTTTTCTTGCTAATAAGAATTTACAGGATCTAACATCTAGCAAAAGAGACAACACCAATCACATTTGGTAAATATGTAATTACATTCGTTCATGGGACAATAGTGAAGACATGACACTTTCATGCAATTTTAAGTTGTCACTGTAAAGCTTGTGTAACAGTTTAAATTTGCCGTCCTCTCAAAATAACTTGTGTGATACACCATGAAATGTTCCAAATCCACATATATATGGAGATATATGTGTAACTTTTCAAATTCCTCTCATTATTTCTCATGTAGCACATGGTTTTCACAGTCTAACATAGAAGTAAGCCCAAAAAACATACAATAGGAGAAAATGTACCTAAAGTATGATTTTGGATGTTGTGGGGAACCTCAAATACCATAAAAAAAAAAAAAAGAACATGCAAATCGTAAGGAGGAGTCAGACCAAAAGCTCCATACTGCATCAGTTTGGTCTGCATTGCTGTCGTAGGATGTAATTAAAAGTAGCCACACGAAATATTGACACTTTGGGCACAATTTGGGCATTTTCACAAAGGGTTGTACTAATTTTGTTGCCAGCGGTTTAGATATTGATGGCACTGTGTTGAATTATGTTAAGAGGACAGGAAGTTTGCACTCTTATGCAAGCTCTATTGACAACTTTACATTGTATCAAAGTTTCTTATCTTCAGTGTTATTCCAAGAAAAGATATATAAAACTAAAGAAAAACAAAATGTGAAGGGGGTAATCACTCTTTTGAGATATTATAGGTTAGATATTTGGCCACAACAACAAGAAGTGTACTTGGCTTGCTAAAGTGAAATTTTAAAACCTAATTATGTTCTACCGAATATCAAACATATATTGGTAGGATTATTCTAAGGTCTGCCAGTGGAGCTGATGCGTCGGACAGAGTGAGTGGAATACTGAAATGAGCTTCACCTCAAATTAACAATTAAATGATCTGAACTTGCTCCTAATTGGGCTCCCCAACAAGAAAATGATTTTCAGCACACATCTGAACTGGTTTCATTCTGAACTGGATGAATAAAGCAGACTAAGTTGGACTCGTAATTGCTTCTGACCGCAGACATAAAAAAAAAAAAAGAAAAAAAAAAAACTTTTTGGAATCTGTCTAAAAACCACATCAATAACTGAAAACTAAGCTATTTAAATTAGTTCTACACCTTCTGATAGGGAGCAAACTGGCAGAATAATTCCAGGACCTTGTTACTGGCTACAAATAGCCCA